AGGTGCTGCCGGAGACGCGTCGGGTGGTGTGCGAGGAGGGGGGCGGGGATCCCTCCCCCCTCCGCCCCCCGTCTCCCCACGGAGAGGGGGCTCCGCGGAGCTGGGAACCCAGCTGCTGAGATGGGAGGGACCCCGGGCCGCCCGGCCGCCGGGTCTACGCGCCCCTTTACAAAGACTTATGCTCCGCTGATGCTATCTGCAGTGGCGTTGATTTTTGTTCTTTTTTAAATCTTGTTTACTTTTGCAGGTCTTGACTCAGGAAAACTTAGCAACAGTTGTGACAGGAGTAATGGTTCCAGCAGGGACAGTTACTCAACCTCTTCTTATCCCCATCAGTATTGCAGGTCAAGTGGCAGGTCAGCAGGGGCTGGCTGTGTGGACATTTCCTACAGCAACGGTCGCTGCCCTTCCCGGATTGACGGCTGCTTCTCCTACAGGGGGAATTTTCAAACCGCCTATAGCCAATTTGCAAGGTAACCGGTGCTCTTCTGCTTTGCAGCCTCCTTAATTCATCCTCTCCCCCCGCAACCTCCCAGCTTGTGCCGAATCCAGGCCGTCCTCTCCAGGAGAGGTCTGAAACGGCGTTAAATTTTGGGGGTTTGTTTGCGGCTCCCTGAGTACCAAAGGTGCCGGGAGCCCGGGAGAAGAGGAAGGTGGGATGAGGATGGCGAGGGGGAGGAAGGCAGCGCACGGGGATGGGATGTGAGGTCCAGGTTAGATTTGGGGCTCTGGGTATGGCACCTCGTTGCAGCGACTGAGGTTCTGCAAGGGAGGAGCGCTGCAGGGTGTGAAAAGAGGGGGATCAGCGCCTCCCAGCGATGCGCGGGGCGGGATTCCTGCCCTTTCCTGTAAGGGAGAATCGCCTCCTCCTCTTGAGCTCCCCCGAGAGAAGGAGCCTGTCCCAGGAGTGATTCATAGACAGGGGAGATGACGGGACCCCGGAGGTGCCCCCCACCCTCTGTGCTGGTTCAGGTTGGACCCAGCACCCCAGCCAGGGCAGGATGAGTCCTGCTGTAGCGGAGGGGCTCTGCTCTGCCTGGTACACAGGAGCTGGTGGGATGTTTCGCTGCCATAACCTACGCCCGTGGAGATGAATCACCTGGTGATTCGGTTCCCTTTGGGAAGGGACAGTGAGCGGTGGGGGGGACACCGAGCTCAGGGTCTCCCCAGCGTCTTCCCTGCTGCACCCGGCCAGCCCCCCATCCTGCCACAGCCCTCCGCAGCGCCCACGCCACCCGTGGCCAAGCCCTTAGAGACGCAGACCCAGATCACCGTCCAACCTGCCGGATTTGCCTTTAACCCTGGCATAGTAAGGAGCCTGGCAGCCCGCGGCAAGGAGCCGGATGAATTTGGCACCCCTTTATCCGGTGCTTTATGTGGCCACAGAGAGCCACAAGAAGTTGTGCTTCCCCGGGGACGAAGCACTCTGGTTGAGCTGTCACCCCCTGGGGGATCATGCGAGATACCAACCTCGGTTTCCCCATCCCTGGCGAAGGACGAGCAACCGAACAGGATGCTTTGATTGAGGCAAAATTGCGAAGGATGGATTTAAGGATGTCAAGGGACTGCATCCCATCGCGGCGGCGAGGCAGGACTCACCCTGCCACGGGGAAGGGGGTGG